CTACACTGTTTTATGACTAACCTATTGGCTTCCCCATATTGCAATATACCGTTTTTAATAGTAATTTGCACGTTCCAGATTAGACAATCACTGTTTTTACAAGCTTTTATTATTTAATTAACTGCACACCATTGAAACTTCAAATTGCTCAAGTCTAGAACTTCATACATGCTCTGAGTATAATATGTATTATTGCATATTTTTTCTGTAACTCGCGTCAAAAATTCTGGGTAGTATTTAGTGATTCCACATATAAAATTGCTGTGAGCCCAAAAACTAGAACTAAAATTGATAGAAGGAATTTTTCATCTCTGCAACAAGATGGGATACAGATTTCTGGGTTCAGACGAGAAGCTAACAGGTAGCAATTTTTGAGCATTTTTGGTTTGCTTTTTTTAAGGGTAGGTTGTAACACCTATCTTTAACAATAACTGTAACGATAACCGGTGTTTTTGTATGGAGTTTGACAGTTGACGTTTGTTATAATCAAAGTAAGATGGTGCAACCCAGCCTCTAACGCCCGTATTCACAAACATTACTATGGGGTCTCACAGTGCGTGTGGACGCACAGGGTGACACACGAACTAATCACTGAGCTCTATTCAACCCTGTGCGTTCGATTTGCTGCTTCACTTAAGCAAGCTTCGTTTGTGAATACGGGCGTCACCATCAACAAACGAATGATCCAGAATTTTGTTCTCCCATTTCAAGATGTAGCTAAGCGTTTAATGTCGCGTTCTTTTATAAACCTACTTCCATAAAAGTACTTACAGTGGGAAATAGACCATAGTCCCAAGGGCTTGCATATCAGCCCTCGATCATGATCAACGCGTCGGATCGCACACGTCACGTCCAAATGACACTCTGCGATGATCTCACCGCGTTTTTGCACGACTCGGCTGCGCGAACGCAGGTAGGGTAGCAAGGGTTTTGGGGAATAGGAGACATAAGGATCTGATCAGGAAAATTCTTCAATACTAATAACGCCCGCAACACAAGATATCGATCAATTGCGATTGCTTTACAAGCTCTACAAGATCTTATTTGACAGGTTGACTTAAATTAATGAATTAGATTTTCCTCTACACATTTTTCAAGATTAGTAGAATACATTTTAATCGAATCTGTAGCCATACACTGCAGTATATAAGACAGTATCTAAATAATATAACTTTATCATAGTCAACTTCTCATTCAACTAACCTGCATACTACGCGAAACTACGCATTTAGTAAAAAATAGCTTTATTGCTAGCATTTGTTGACAGGAGAACTTATCAAAGATGAACTTAATAATGCCAGGTTAAATCGGAAATTCTTATCTTTCATGCAACTAGCGAATGCGTAGTCTAAGCCTTTATCTAAAACTTGAAAAGAAAGAAAAAATTGCATTATAGGGTCACACAGATTTGATTGATTGAAGGCATGTCCTTTCAAAATAAAAAAAGAAGAAGCCCATAAAATATCATGCTCATTTACGGGCTTAAGGATAAATAAATAAGTCAAATGACTCACAACTACAATCTTCACGCCAATCGCAGTAATGCATCGTCTCTCTGATAGCTGGACTGTGACAAGCAAAGCTTAAGATTTCTGATACATTTGATGAACACCCAGCAACATTGTAGTGTGAGAAATGATCGAGTTTGTCAAAGATTATGATACTGCAATGTCAGAAAATAAACATAAACATAGTTGATAAACGTTAATGGCTGACAGGCATGAAATGGTAAGGTAAACAGAAAAAACTTACAGAGGGAAATAGAAAAAATCCATCGCACTTAATCTTTTCACTATCGTAGTACAGACATTTTTCAAGATTTTCCGTCTTAGGCCAGTCTTATGAAATTACACCCTACACTTAAGAAAATCTTCAGTCCATATTAAATTTCCACCACCAAAAAAAAATCAATTTTAGTCGTTTAAAGTGTTGCTACAACATAAATTAAATAAGTAATTGTTCTAAATTCAGATAATAAGAATGTACCTATCATCATTTCAGTCACAGGACATCATCCACTGTTAAACATAGGCCTTCTTCCCCAATAATTTCCAAACTGCCCGGTTGGTAGCGGCCTGCATCCAGCGCAATTATGAGGTCGTCGGTGCACATTGTGGGCATCTATAGAAATCAGAAAATTCGATAAAACGTATAATCAAAGACAAGCTTAGTGCAATTATCACAATAATAAGCATAAAATCGCTATCAAAAATAGCAAAAACATACAACATCCCCATAGCGTATATCTCTAACAAATACTTAAACAACTTGCGGTCCGCGAAATACCAGTCCCCATTAAAACAGATTCCGATATCAGTCCTCAATCATGCGACGTGAATTGAAATTCCTACCGCGGACTGACAGACGGCGCGCGCGCGGCAGATGTTAGGTTTGTATGGCTGGTATGTGAGGACAAAATGTTACACAGTTAGACTATTTGCTATAGCTTGCTTGAGCGAGTTTTTTCAAGAAAAACTCAAATAAATGCGAACGTTTTAAGTATAGTTTTCATTTTCATAAGTACTATGAAAGATTTAAGTAGCTGAAAGGATTTACCTTTATTGATAAGTATAACGGCATTCGACGAGCTATGAAAAGGATAATGCTTGGCATCACTTTAGGGATAAAATTTGGAAGATCTTTCAGTTGAGAAAAAAGGTCAAATGTAGCACATACAACAAACTCTTGTCATATTATGGACAAAATATTTAAAAAATGTCTAAGGACATCACTAGTCCTAATTATGCCTGCTGTTTGCCTCCTGTCCCATAATAAAAAAAAACAATCAGAATAATGCAGTGTAGTAAAGACATTAAATTAATTCTTTGAATCAAAATAGCAACTACTCAGCATTATATCATTCTCTAGCTAGGGTAAAACCCAGAACCCGTTTGAAGGTAATATACTGTTCGAGTTCGACTTTACCTTTTTAAAGTTCTATACAAATCTAGGAGAAGACTAGTTACACTCTCTTCAATGGCGACTTTAAACACACGAAAGAAATAACACTTCGTCTTGTGTTCACATGCTTGGTCGGATTTACCACTGCAGGCTTCTTAATGGTTCCATTATATGGTCGGTTTGTCGACATTACGGCTTAAATCTAGTGTAGGTTTATTGGGGATTTCTTAAATTAGGAGTTTAGCTACGTGTTTAAAGGACTGTTTAAAATGAAAGAAAGAAAGAAAGAAAATACATTTATTTGGCACACTAAAAACAACAAATTAATACGTTAAATTGCCGCAGTGCGTAGCACCACGACCCTGGTTTTTAATGGTCGCCTGATTGCAGTGGTGGAAAGGCGCAGTTATTTAAAAAACAAGACGCAACTGCGCATCGGTGACACATACACATTTTGGCATAGATTTAAGTACTTATAGCAGAAACAACAAACATGAAAATGAAAATAACAAGGCACAAAATCAAATACCAACAGCAGATCAGTACGAGCAAACAGTCCCTAAAATTGTCGTTTGAGAACTAGTAATCGCATACTACTAGTTCAAAAAAAAGTTGATTCGCACGCGATTTTAATACTTTTAATACATCCGGGCGAAACGCCTACCTACTAAAAAAAAATTTTATTGAAAGGGGAGGTTTCGCACATTCGTGCGAAGGAAAATCGTGCGAAACTACTACTAACCCAAATTGTCACGTGCCCAAAATGATTACTCGTAGTACTTTACATTTTGTAAAAAACTATTTTCTGTCTTATTATAAAGACGATACTAAAGGAAATAGAACGATATAATCTTAGACCTAAAGCCATAGGTATACCAATTTTACCTAGATTGCGCCGATTAGATTTCAGTCTTTCGGCCAAAAGATGTCTATTTCTAATTCTGTCCGTCTCTCTTCCTCGTGGTAGCTTAACTGAATGAGAGAGCGAGACAAATATAAATAATTTATAGAAATGCTTTTGCAGAGTTGAACCACAGTAAAATTGAACTAGTACTGTGCCTTCATTTAATGGGATGCCTACAGAATAAGAAAGATTTTTATCAGTATTAATAAGAGCGATTTCAGCTGACAAGTAAATTGCGTATTATACAGCTGTTTCCAAATAATTAAAAAAATAATAAATCAAAATAATCAATGTTGACTTTGCGATGAATGGCATGTGGATTTAAGTAGCCTTTTACTGAATACTTATGTAACAGTCTTACGCCCGTATTCACAAACTTGCTTATGTGAAGCAGCAAATCGAACGCACAGCGTTGAATAGAGCTTTGTGATTGGTTCCTATGCGTCCATGCGCACTGTGAAACCCCATAGTAATGTTTGTGAACACGGGCGTTAGTTTGTAGATTTTCTTATTTTTTCATGATTTTTTCTCAAATTGTATCTGGCCAGTATTTTCACTTACACTTTGATGCAGCTGAAATTGAAACCCTTTTCACTCTTATACCAAATCACTCACACAAACTACGTCTTATTTTGACTGTGGCAAGACGCAGCTAGCCCGTGGCCAGACCTAGATCCGAAGTAGAGTAACTGTGGGGTAGGGGTGCACCCAGACGATTATCGACATCGATGGAACCATCTGATTTATGTTCCTGCGCAGATGATAGACTAAACATCAAATTGTGGGTCGATAAGATATGATTTATAAAGGACAGGCAGCGCTTGTAGGCCATGTATCGTTGTACTTATATAAGCCACTGTAATAGAGATCAGACTTGTAATAGAGAGGGCAGTTAATAGAATATTACGAAAGTATTTTTGGATCAATTTTCTTCTGTAATGTAAACTGATATCTTAACAGGAGGATCTGTGGTCAAGTATGATAATATTAAAGCTATTTTTAGTAATAAGACTCTCGTTTGATATTTGTATACGACGATTACGTCGTTTCTTTTCAAAATAACAATTCCTTTTCAAAAGCAAGTTTTTGCTTTCTGATTGTGCATAGGTACTTATCAAAAACTAAAGAAATTTCAAATAGGTATGATTTTCAAAATCTTTTTCCATTCAATAACAAAATGATTTTATTGTTTCAGAGTGACCGTTCATCAACTGTCTTCATACAGGTAATTTTCATATTTTATATGTAATTTAATATTATTTTCTTCTCTGAGTGAAATGTTGCTGACTAAAGTCATAAGTCATTTATTTTGCAATAAGGCTTTTTTAAAGCTTTAAGTAGTTTTCATAGGAGCTACTTTACGACAAATTAGAATTAGGCCAAGTCCGCACTACGGCTAAACCACCACGGTTTTTAACCGCGTGATTTTTTAACCAAGTAAAACAAATGACTTATGACTTTATCATAAAGTCATTTGTTTTTTGCATTAACGCCCGCATTCACAAACGATGCTTGCTTGCAGCGTTGAATCGAGCTCTGTGCTTGGTTCGTTCGTATGTCACCCTGTGCGTCCACGCGCACTGTGAAACTTCATAGTAATGTTTGTGAACACAGGCGTAAGGCTTCTATAAGGCGACTTACCTATGTAGTTTCAACAGGAGTTATTTTGCGATAAAATGCATAGAATGTGCTAAGCCACCGTCCCAGTGTATAATTGAACCATTGGCTCTCATGTGTAAGAACTACATCGCGGCCTAACAGCACATTCCCACAGATCAATGGGTTTCCTAGTTGAATAAACATACCTGTAGGACTCAGGGATGTAATAAGGGATAGGGAGGTAAGGAACATCACGGTAAACGCTGTCCCCCTTATGACTAAAAAATTACACCCTAGTTGAATACCTACTGTTTAAAGTGACATTTCCATACTAAAAGTCTCTTTAAAACAGTGTTCAACTAGGGTGTAACTTTTTATTAATAAGTTGGTGCGTGTATGTATGGTAAGATTGTATTATACATACAACAAAGACATACAAATGATAGGACGGCACAATTTGACAGGTTTTATTGCTAGTAAGCGATGTCACACCTACAGAAACCGGCGGGAAGCACAGTTATTTTTTCCACATTCTTACAGATTTTTACACTTAACATTTTTTTGCTAATCAGCACTTCTTAAGGGAGGTTTTAACTTGATATGAGTCCATCGAGGAGTAAAAAAAATAATTTAAAAAATCTTTTATTTTCCGAAATATCGAATTTGGTGTTTTAGATATTTTGACCAACTACCCCCGTCTTACACACAAATCACAGCTACCCTTGAATCCGTCCCTATGCAGTCGCAATCAAAACAGCTGCCGTCTTCGAGCCCTCGACTCCTCTAATAAATGATCTAACCTATAAAATAAACCATATTTCTGCCTCCCACCGGCAAACCATACCTTATCACTTAGATATAACGGTCACAACCGTTTGAAAGGACCATAGACCATGGGCTATAGAAAGCAGGGATGTTATGGATATGAAGTTTCGGTTATGGATACGGTTACGGATATTAAAATAATATTATACCGGTTTCGGTTACGGTTACGAATAGTAAATCATTTCGGATTATCCGAAAGTTTCGGATACTTATTAGAATTTTGAAAAGGTGAAATTCAAATAGCAATATGCTGCGCTACCCACATAGCCACTAAGTACTATGATTGTAGGTACCTATGATAAAGGTAAAACAGGCGGGTATATCAGATTGGTGCCAGGGGATGCCAGACAAGTAACAAAATATTAAAAATATTAAGATTTAGACTCCACCTTTATCCGTTACTTTTAAATCGGTTTCGGTCACGGATATTTTTTATTTCGGATATCCGATAGTTTCGATTACGGTTACGGATATCCATAACATCCCTGATAGAAAGTACAACGCGGTAGGTCCAGTAGCGTTGTCAATTGATTCGATAGAAAACGTGAGAAACAGTTATGCGATAAAAATTGATATGAAAGGGAATAAAGATGTAATAATGTCGTTTAAGCCATACAACTGTTTGTGAGATAGCATTTTGTATGTTTACGTTTAACTTCAGACTATAAAAACTTAACTGCTCCTACATTGAAGGTTTCATAATCTAAATATTGTGTTGTAGTTACCTACAATATAATATTAATATTATTGTATGAGATGATCCTTGTATCAACAACTGTTCTGACTGTCCTGAGTTCTAGTTTATTGTTAAAGTTATGCTCGTTCAGTCATTCCTGTTCTTTGTTGAATTTCAATAAGAAATGTCTTTACATACCTTTTAAATTATTCCTGAGTCTAGATACTTAATACGGTCTTAAATTATACGCAAAAACACATCATAACCTGGTTTTTATTAAATCGTCTTTTCCATGATTGAAATACTCTGTTAAGTTATTATAACCAAGTCCAACATAATAATAACCAACGTAACATAAACTAATAAATGATAATATTAACTTGTATCTACATCTTGAAACATCAGATAAAATTACAAAAACTAATCTCGACATCAAATTGATCTCTATGACGCCGACTCACGCGCATCTTTGTTCTTTGGAGAGAACATAAAAACAAAAAGCGATCGCACGCGACCGACTGATCGACGTTTCAATTAAATCGATTTATTTGTAAAATCCAATCGATTGTCGTAGGGCTGGCAATGGTTTAATTGGAATGCATCTCTTGTTACCATGGGTTTATTTAAAATACATTTACTAATAGTAATTCCAATAATATAAATTACTTTTGCGCGTTAAATTTTAATAATGATTTGATAAAGTTAGCATTAAATAAGTGTTTAGGAGAAAGTTACATTTGCGAAAAGCTCTGCTTAGTTTGAGTCATGTGGTATAAAATTACCATATTAATATGTACATTGTACATATTTACCTACTTGTATAAATTCGCATAAAATAAGGGTAATTTCGGGGAAACATTACATTAGACAGAAAAGCTCTATTTAGTTTGGGTCATGGTAATTGTTATGAGTGGTATGAAGAATGAAGCTTAATTCGAGTTTCCGTACTCATGATATGGGTGCTATAAAACTTATTAAAAAGTAAAAGTCAGCTTAATTAATTTATAAGAAAACCCAAAAACCCATGGACATTGGACATCCCTGCATCGACATCGGCCTTTTGTGCGTCGCGTCTCTATAGGCCTTTTGTGCTAGTGTTGTTACATTTTTCCTTTGTACCAGATAATTATCGATGATGCGTCTACGCATAGAAAGGCGTATTTTGAACGCTTATTGGCTTTTAATGAATGTGTTTAGTATTGAACTAGCTCTCAATGGACTTTGTGTATTCTATTAGAGTTTGAATGGTGATTGAATTGACGCAGTTCTAATTATTGGCTGGGTTACATAGTTAATTGCACGTAATTGTTATGTAATAATGCTGAGGTAATTTGTAAGGTTATTGCTGACATAAGAATATACTCTCTTACAGGTTGTTATCTTAATATTGCGTTAGGTTAAAGTTTTATTGGGTGTATCATAAAATTCATGTTGGGAAAGTCTTTATGAACTAAAAATAAAGAAACAATAGTGCTGGCATTATTTTTGATATTCATATCCTTGTATAATAAAACATATTTTAACTAAAACTTCCTCGATTTTTGTTAAGATTGAAGCAAGGATCACTCAATCCACATGCACATGGCTCTCTCTACATCCTAAGGAGGTTTAGATTTCTAATAAAATAAACCACTTTGACTGTACATTTCGAAGAAGTATTTCGTTGTCGCTACTCAGTTCGCTTTTTAAATTAAATAAAAAACGTCCACCCTGAAAGTGGACTGACGACCTGATGAAGGTAGCAGAAAGGCGCTGGATGCAGGCCGCTACCAACCGTGCGATGTGGAAGTCATTGACTGAAGTTCAGCAGTGGACGTCCTGTGGCTGAAATGATGGTGATTATGATGTATTATCGACTATGTCAAATGAAAATCGCCTATTTAATTTAGTTACATTGTCTATTGTCAGTCTATTACTGGTGCTGCATCATATCATTGAACATTCAATTGAGAACGCTAATTATGTCATAGTCTCCACAAGGATACGTGTCTGGCAACCGCAAAATAACTATGAAACCAGTTCGAAGCGGTTAGTTAGAGTTGTGCAATAAACATAGCGCCTTAAACTGAGAATGTTAATTAAATCATAGATGACAATTCTGTATAAATAAGTAAATGGATGCTTTAAATAATAAGAATCGAGTTTTTCTTGGAATAAGCGCGTATTGATTGACACACATAATCATAAACTATACATTTTGAAATCATTTTTTTAATGATATGTTTATTTCCTAATGGGTTTTCCTATGTTGTTTAATTCGCCCTTATTTATCTATGTCGTCCACATCTTGATACTGAACTAATTCAGTAATACAAACGTTATTTGTTTGTATTGAATAAGTTCCGAAACTTCTGGACCAATTTGAAAAACTCTTTTGCCGTTGAAATCCTAAGTACATTTAATATTTCTGATGAACTAAGTATCGGCAACAACTAATTACTACCCATTGCCGATCATGTCGTCTCATTCTATCGCAAAGAATCACCATTTGATGAGAGCGAGAGCAAAAACGGAAATGGATAGTTTACACTGTGTCTGATAGAACATAAGCGGTATTTCACCATTAGAATCTTACATTTAATTATTTCTGATGAACATAAGCGGTACGATATTCGCCGGGTCAGCTAGTAATTCAATAAAACACACCTTCACATCTACAAAGACCATCAAATCCCATACACGTACGTAAATAACCCCTCACACAAATCAATTCGAATGCAAAACAAAACTATAAACTTAACAATACCCGTAAACTAACAGATAAAATCTAGGTAGTAAACGAACCCGGATTCGGTCCAGATTGCCCAATAGAGGGCCAGGGTATTAGCATACGCTGCAAAAACGGCAGCGTAGATAACAGACACAAGTAGAAGTAAATTCAGAAGGTTCTAATGTCTCAAAATTAAAAATTAAAAAAAATCCGACACAAAAAAATTAAGGCTAAAAACTAAAAAAAATTTTAATCCACAACGAGGATACTCTTGGCCTGTATCTCACCTGATGGTAAGTGATGATCAGGCCGAAGGTGGAAGCGAGCTTCACCCGGAATAATAATAATATAATATTTGAAACCTATTATTAACACGCTAATGGCGCTATAAGGTCGCGTGACGCGTCGGGGTACC